GAGAACACAACCCTGTCATGTTTGAAAACCACTTCCAAAATGAGCAGCTATTTTTCACATTTAATCCAAGTAAAGCCTTCAGTGTGGCAGTTTCCAGCCTAACACTGACCACCCCGCTCTGGTAAGTCAGACAAAGTGCACCTGTCTCTCCACGATGACTATAAGCAGCTCCATTTGGAAGCACACCAGGTAGCCAGAGTGCAGCCCATGCCAGATGGCCAGGAAGAACAGGGCCAGGGCCTGTGACAGCAGTTTGTTACCCAGGAACTTCAGACGCTTGAAGATGTAGCTAGAGCAGAAAAGAAAAAAAGTGCCTCTAGTTTATTGTCTGTCCTCCCCAGTCTGTGTCAGAGGTGCAGGGCCCAGAGGATCATACACCTTTGCAGGCCCTGTGGTGACATAAACAGCAAGACCAGGACAGAATGTACATCAGCCCTTGTCTTAAAGAAATCCCAGCTAAGGGGGAGAAGTGGTTCATTACAGACCATGTAGCTGTGTCCTCCAGCAAGTGCTGAACCAAAACCCAGCTGAGTTTGGCATAGGGAGCATCAAGAGCAACATGATGCAGGAACCAGCTGTTAGAGCAGCTCTGTGGCTGGCTGAGCAGGCAGGCAGGCCCAAGGGCTCACTGTGGTCCTGTTCTAGTCTGTACCACCATCAGCTGCTTGCCTCGTTAATGAACTGCCCTTCCAGGTGAAGTAAAAGATCCCTCTAACCCAGTGACCTGTTTCTGATGGCACAGCAGCAAAGCACAGAAGTGCGAGAACTGGCAATGGGCAAATTCTTCCTCTAATGCTCCTGCTTAGTCTGGTTAGCTTGGTTCTGTTGACACAGGTGTCACTGACACATTACAGAAGGGGAATTTCATCCTGCTCACCGGGCTATCCAAGCGTTGGTGTTGATGTTGAAAGAAGCAATCGTCCCTGTGAACAAAGGTGTTGTCTCATACAGCCAGACCTTCATGTTGGCACAAGCATTCCACAAAGGCTTTCCATTCTGGTCCTTCCCATTGTACCCCAGACCAGCAAGGATGCAGACACCTTCCTATCAAAAAATGCACAAGAAAGATAAGAGGAAAACATTGCCCCCTTTGTTTTGGCAACGCAGATTTGGGAAAGCTCTGACTCACTGTGTTGAGCGGAGAGCTCACTGCAGATGAACAACTGGATTAAGAACTGCCTGGGTTTTAGTTTGCTAGCGTTTGCTAACTTGTAGCAAGGTAAATCCACCTGCACTGATCTCCAGATATTTGGATTGCTTCAGTTTAGTGCTATGTCCAAGAGCAGACTAAATGGCTGCAAGACTGTGACCTTTATTCATTTGTCTTTTGCTTCTGGAACAACATGTAGACTCACCGTAACAAGCCAGCAAGTTACGTATTTGTAGAGTATAATTTTGCCCCAGATCAATATGTAACCACAACGGAACCAGAAGGGCTTCTCCTGCAAGAGGTAAGAGTGAAACAGAATAAAAATAAAACCCAGAGTTGAGTGGCCATAATGAGACAAGGTAGCTGAGATCTCACCAGTGTCTTTTGTTTTACTCTGATGTGTTGATACTGCTCTATGGACTGAGCTGCCAGGCTTAGGCAAACTTACACATCTTTCTCCTTCCCTTAGTAATGTTTGGCTGTAGTGAAATAGGTACAGTTAGGGAAGACTCTAGGATTAGCATAATCATTGTGGAATTTACACTCTTTATTCACACTGATACAGAAATGCTGATAATCTGCAGGTTGGATTTATTTGTTACGAATTTTCTAAGAACCTCAAAGATTCTGGTAAGCCTTGCAAGTTACTCTGGTGAAGCTAGTCTAGCATGTAATGGTTAAATGGAAGGTCATTAGAAGGCCACAAAATACTTATGTTAGGTTTCCAAAAACAACAGTAGCATCTAAGATTAACTCTCTATTTGTAAAAGTTTTAATTTGGTTCTGTTCAGCTGAAGACATTCCTATTTTGCATCAAATGGAATCCACAGGACAGACAGTAAAGTCAAATCAGTTGTGTAAAGGCTTATCACTAGTTGAGGCAAGACTACAAAAAAAAATAAAAATCCACTCTTGTAGATCCAATGCCCACCAGAGAAGTGGAATTCTTCCACACCCCACACAGCCAAATGAATACATACCATATAGTCATCTGAGATGAGGTATTCATCAGAGATGTACAGGCTTGACAAGGTATAGGTTACTAGAAACAAGAGACCCAAACTCAGGCGCTTGAGAGCAGGCACAAAACTGAGAAATGAAAATATGAAGGTCAAAGAAATGCCTTGGAAAGAGGCATCAAATTCATAATTTAAAAAACAGAGATGGAGAAGAGGGGGTAGGGGAGATAGTGACAGGGAGTCACCACATTCCACTGCAGCAGCTGCCTTTTTGGAGGTTGGGACCCAGTCTGTACTAAAGATGTCAAACAGTTGTTGACATGCCCTGGAACAATGCTGGGACATTATGCAGAGAGTTACAAGCAACTTTTGAAAGACTGCCTTGTCTTATAAATCACTTTTGGTCACAGTAGTTCTGTGCCCAGGTAAGAAGGCAATCTGCTGCAGGGAACATGTGGAGGATTCAG